CATGCTCCCCCATCACGGAAGAGAGAAATCTAGCTGGTGAGAAATCTAGCTCTCTCCTCTGGGTAGGGCTGCTAGGTCAACAAGAGGAAGCCACTTCCAGTCTTGCCTCTATCCAACGTGGGAGATCCCCGATGCATCCACTAGGAGAAATAAAAGAGTGTGTGTGTGAGTGTGTGTACCTTGTGTTGGAATAGAGACTCTGAGAACGTAGCAAGGATTGTGCAGCCCGGGAGGGCCTCGGTGGGGACCACGGGTGTCTTTTGCAAATGAGCTGCGAGCGTGGCCATGGCCGTCTCGCGTTACTACTGTACGGTGGGGACCAGTTTCCCAGCTTGGCGCCAGCAAGCTGAGGTTTCCCTGCCTTGCTCCAAAAGGCCGTGCTTTAGCACATGGTGTGCGGTCTTGCACACACGGTTTGATGCCACGAGAGACATCACACGATGGCTGTGTGAAGATCTCCTTCTCCATTGGCGTACGTTAGCATTTTGGCTCTTCAAAAAAATTTTTTTAAATCCCATTCTCTTTACGAGTTGCTTCTTGCAGGGCAGACGTACCCAATCCAGCCCCTTTCAGATGGGCTGGACTTCAACTCCCATGATCCCCTGCCAGCTAGGGAAGATGAAGTCCAACACATCTGAAAGGTATCTCAGGTGGGGGGGGGGGAAAATGGCTGTAGAGAGATATTTATTTATTTAAGTAAAACGTATCAGAGACGTAGGAATTGTCTTCTACTCGCTGAGATCACACCTTTATACACAGATATATAACGAGTCTGTTTTATGAAATTCTTTCATGTATTTTTTTTAAGAAATGCAAGGAGGAATCTGCATTAGCTTGTGGTGATAATTCATGTATGCATCTGTAATGTTTTACTCTCTTTCCCATCCATCTACAATGTGCAAGGAGTTATGTCCTTTGTTTAACTGGCGTTAAACCTACTGTTTCCCGCTCTGCTACCTTTCTCCAGGCAGGGAGATTTCATTGATATCTGTTCATCCGGGAAGTAATCGACGTGGATTTCTCTCTGCTTGGAATTTAACTGGCCTGGCCAGCCTAGCTCTCTTAGGCTTGTAGGCAAAAGTTTAAATGGAAGAAACCAGTTTGAGGATCAGAGTTCAGTGAAATTTGGGGACACAGTATATACATTTTTAAACCCCCATGTTCACACAGCTATTCAGTAGATTGCTATCTCAAGATAAAACTCTCCTTCAAATAATACAAATCTGCAGCCAAAGAAACTATTTTTCCCCATTTGTGTAACCCGGAAGAAATCTGGAAGCAGCCAGAATTTTTACCAAATCCTCTTATAATCAAATATCCTTTTCAACACAAATGTGTCTTATGATTAAGCAGAGTTAACTGTAAGATGTGATCAGAGAGAGGAGTCAGGCTAGTATGAACAGAACACACGTTGAAAAAATGATCGAAGTGGGCAAGAAGGTTGCAATTAAATTGGTTTAAAGTGGGAAATTCTAACTGCTATCTATAACAACGAAGATCCAAAGGTAAGACGCAACTTAAAAATTGTGGTGGATAAACAGCTAATGAGCAACCAAGTTCAAAACTGATCAGCAATACTTGTTGAAGAAAACAGGCCCAGTTTGAATGGCCTTTGGGTTTCTGGAGCTGTTTGCAGGATTACATTTTTTCCTGAAAGACAAAAACTAGTGTCTAACTGGGAAGCATGCAGTTGGAAAACAACAGGCAAATTGCACCGGTTTTGCTCCGAAACGCTAATTAACTAATCAACAGTGTCAGGAATGGGCCAACTTTGTGGTTTGAATGTTAAAAAGCGCAGTTTTCAGAAGAATTTCCATTGTGAAAAGCGTGCCTTTCCATCCCAGAATGATTAGAAGCTGGAAACTGGAATCCTGAGTCACAAACCGTGTTTATACAGACCGACATCTCCGTTCATCGAGGATTCAAAGCGTTCTTCCTGAACGTCCCTAGTCTATTTCCTTCTGTTAAAACCCTAGGACGCCTGGCCATCTTACTAACCATCATTCGCTCAAATCAACCACATCATGGCTTACTACATGGGCCTGGTTCAGGCTCCATCTCAAGATTGGAGGAATTTCGTTTGGTGCTGGGCCAAGAAACAAGAATCAAGAATCCATAGTTTTTAGCCTGCATCTATCGTAAGTTTAAAAGTGGGTGAAGTTTGTTTGGGTTCCACTGGCTACAGTATTACTATGAATCAGATAAAGTTGTTTCTTTTCCAGCCCTATTTAAAAAAGCTCCATGCTGGTTTGTTTTGAAAACAATGCACCAACATTTCCCCCAAATAAGATACAAAAGAAACCCAAAATGTATGTACCTTGTAACTCACCGGTGGGAACCACTCCAGCTATTACCTCCTCCCACTGGTGGGAAAGAGGGCGTGGCCACCCAGTGCTCCGCCTCTTTTGCAGGTTTGATTTCCTGTTGCAAGGCGGGGGGGGGGTCTTAAAAAATAACCATGAACTGACTAATGGCGATTCCCCAGGCTCCCCCAAACCTTTTGAACACCTTAAACTAGCCTCTCCTTCAGTTGTGGCCAACTCCCATCATCCCCAGCCACAATAAATATCCTGGCCGTGGATAATGGGGACTGTAGTTCAGCAGAACAGGATGGTGCCAGGTGGGGAAAGCTTACTTTATATATAAAGTAGTGGGAATACCTTCCTAGATTTATTTTTCTACCGATGCAGAATTTTTTCCTATCCCCCCCCCCACCTTGCAGGGAATATTTCCCGAATAATCTTACTGAAAACAATGGTTCCTGTTGTTTTGCAGAGACCAAAACAATAAAGATGCAAGTCATACGTTTGGGGCTTCTTAATCTTTTAAAAAGGTTTTCTTCTCATTTTGAGTTATAATTCTGCTGTCGTGCCCATCCCTGTTTCTTGTGATGGACTTTTTCCTAAGTTGCAGGTCCAGAAATGTCAGCTCCTTCTGAACCGGCTTCCCCATCTATTGCCAGTGACTTTGACAGCTCCGTTGCAATGGAGCCAGAGAGCCACCTGCTCCAAAACGGCCAGGGGTTCATCCCATTTGCTGCCTTGCGTGTTTAGGATCAAGAGGGTGAAAATCAGCCCGTTGGAAGACAAGGGAGAAGAGGAAAAACTACCACGGAGGTTGGAACTGGCACAGGGGACATGAAGACATTTTAAAACAGGCATTTTATGCCATCGCCGGTAGGATTTGCTGGACAGAGGAATTATTTAAGGAGAAAACATTCTGTCCAGTAGCTCATTCCCTTGCTCTTAATCCCTGGAACTCAGAGTCTTTTAAACAGCTCTGCTAACTTGTTTGTCGGAGCCGAAACATTTTAAACGTTCAGTTTAAAGCATCAGAAAGAATCTAGCAACACCTCTCCAGACGAACGTATTTTATTAAAAGGCACAAGCTTTCATGAACTAGAGTAGTTCATAAAACATGCTGGTAGCGTTTTTCCCCTCTTAAGAGTCTTCTGGATGGACCCCAAGATCGTCTCTCTCTGCAGGACTGTGAGATCGAACTCTCTCAGCTTTTACCAGAGCTTGGACAATTCCCCTAAACTGATTTTACAGCTTCGCTAAATAAAATGTTCAGGTCTGTGGATTTTACTGCGCTGATTAAACTGGATACATTAAATCTGCTGATTCATATTCTTGTTTTCAAAAGGACTGATATTCCCTTAATCATATTGGGAGTCCCCTTTTATACTGAAAACCATGCGTGTTTTAAATATCCAGAGATATTTGCTGTTTTTTCCATATCCACGAAACCTGGAACCAATTTTTCCCTTCCGGATTTAGGTTTTTGAACAGCAAAGTTGGCAGCATCGGGAAAAACGGAACGGTTCCAGAATCCTCTTCCAAATGCCTGAGGTTGGATCTTGATCATGCAAAGAGCATTTCTGAGCGCATGCAGAAATCACCAATGAGTAGTTAACTTCTGAAGTGCCGGTTCCTTACAGATGGGTCTAAATCTCTCTGCATCTCCCCTTGGTGAATGAACGCTTTGAGGCCTAGATCGGCAGGCAGATAGGAACCCTACCACCATTGTCCCTGCATTTTGAATTCCTTGTCCAACACGGAATCACTTGCCTTCTTGACTCCATCGCTGCCCAGTGCATCTTGAATGGAAAAACAAGGGCAAAGCTCCACCATCAGGATCTGCACCACCATATTCAAGATTGTAATCAACAGTTTTGAAAGGGATTGCTTGCAGAAACTAAGTTTGGTCTCTAAGCATGTGTGTTTTCTCTCCTCTTCTCGGTCACCTGACTGCCTGGCTGTCTGTCTTAGATGTATCTTATTCAAAAAATCTAATAAAATCAGAACTTAACTATATATATAGAGAGAGAAAGGTACAATTCCTCATTCCATTATTGCAAATGCGTTCAGTTTTTTTTACAGATGGTTTGCACAGAGGTTGACATCTCTCAGGTTAGCTGTCCTGCCAAAAAGGAACCGGAAAAAGTCAACCACGCAAAGGGCATTTCTGAGGACATGCAGAAATCACCAATTAGTAGCAGTCAAGTCAAAAGTCAAAGTCCATTGGGAAGCTTTAAGTTCCCCATAAAACTACTGCCTTGTACAAGAATATTGCCCTTCCCCAACCCTTTCAGATGGACCATCACTCCAGTTTCTAGAACACCTAAGCCCTTCTGTCCAGGAAATTGGGGGAACTCACTGCTAGGACCTCTTCCCCCAATGGACGATCCACACAAGTCTGCCATTTTGTTTCAATGCAGACTAATGGCTCAGTCTTCAGAGGCTGTGTTTTCTCACACCGTACATGAGGAAAGAGAGCATGGCCCAGGCCTTCTTGCAAGATCTGGTGCCGTGGCTTCAGTTGCCAAGAAGGCTAGTCGTTTAAGGTTTGAAGGGAAGAATGGCTTGCTTCTTCTGCAGAAAGAGCGTTTGGCTCGTGAGCATTTCCCCTTCATTTCCAGATGATCTAAAGGCACACTGCCGATTGGAGGGGATTCTGAAATAATTAAAAATAATAATAATCTGCAAATAACACATAAGCAGGGGTAGCACTTTTATTAACTGCTACAGCAGCTGGCAACAGAGCAGGCCTCTGGCACGGCAGATGAAAGGGTACACAAACAATTCATAGCAGGAGGCAAACAGAAGCATTAGCAAGGAGATCTCAGCTCTATCCAATGCTTTATTAACATGTATTAAAAAAAAGCAAGCGAGGGAATCCCTTGCCCCCCTAAATTTAAAGCAAGCATTTGCAGGTTGGCTGCACAGATAGAGGAATTTTCAGTTTGACCAGAAATGCTAGTTGGGGTCTGCAGTTCCAACGGAGACAAGCAAAGGCAGACGGTGGTCCTGTGATGGCCTCTTCTGGCTGCCAGGGAGAAAAAGAGGGGGCTTCTTGTTCACCGGACACCAAACAGCCACCACAAGCCACAGCAGAGCTCGGCTGCAGCCCTCGGTTCGCCCAGCCCTTTCTCAGAGTCAATCACGGTCAAGAAACTTGCCTGACCCAGAGCCGAAGAGAAAGGGCTCCAAAGTCACGTCTTTCCGATCCCTGGCTGGGATTCAAACCTGCAGAGGGAAGGCAGATCCAAGCGCTCCAAAAACCGGCTTTCTTAAGGAGGGTCCTCTTAAGAGGCCAGCTCCACCCAGCTGGGATGAGAGCAAAGACCGGCCTCTTTCCTCTTGCAGGATACAGTTTAGTTTTGTCGTTGCTGCTTTTGGCCCCCTCCCCGGCTGCTTAACCGCCATGTAAGGTGGAGATGAAAACCACGTGGTCCTGATCTTGCAGTTCGTAGTCCAGGTTGCCCTGAAGGAAGGGAAAGAAAGCAAAGGAGGGTCAAGGGGCACTTTGGAAGGTGCTGAACTCCACTTTGCTCCCCGGCCATCCAGGGGAACCCCCCCAGGAGGACTGGGCATCAAATGCCATTCCCAAATAAGACAGAGAACTTGGGGAAGGGGCCCGACAGTTCACTGCAGCATCTGGCAGGAAAGGGAAGGGACTCCCCCAGACCCAACACCATCCCTGGGGTTCAGCACAACCCCTTTGTCTGGCCTCTCAGCCACTGGCCAATGCAGAAAACAGAGACCCTCCAAATGACCGAAACGGGGCATACCATCAGCTCCCAGTCTGCGTCATTGATAAGCACCAGAATTCCTGGGCGCCTGCAGGGAAAGAGAAGCTGGTAAGAGGACAGGCTCCGGGGCTAGGAAGATGCGTGGCAATGGCGGGATCCGTCGGGAGCACACTCAAACAACTGGCTTTCTCAACGATTCTATCGCTGATTTCCTTTGGCTATCAAAAAGTTTCTCCCAAGGGTCAGCCAAAATCTGTTTTCCAGTCACTTAAGTGTATTATGTTTAGGTTTTGGGACTCTGTTCTTCTACCAGAAGTTGGAAACGTTGCCGTATTCCCACTCCTAGGACTATGGCCCTTCTCACTTCCAATCTTCTTCGGGGAGAACAACCCTTACACTTCTGGTGGTTCCTGGCAGGAAGTCACGCTCAACGGTGAACTGGAACCTTAGTCCGGTCTACCTAGCTTTAGACCAGCCCATCTGAAACTGAAGTTCACACCCATCCGGACTAGAACCTCCTTTTCTTGCAGGCTTTGGACTCTCCCACCTTAAGGTTTTGGGGGATGCCTCATTTTGAGGCTCCTTTGAGGCTGCTGCTGATAGAGAGATTACCCTTCTTAAAACGGTCCGAGGCAGCACGTCATCAGCAGTTTGGAACAATCCTGCTCATGCCTGTAATTTAAATCTGCCCTGCAAACCGAGCACGGGGAAGCCGACGCAGTGAAAGGAGGCAGCCGCAGTGCCTCCGTGAAGGACTGCCGGCAGCTAGGATCGACAGGAAGCCTGTGCTCACAGTCAAGAGGAATTCCCTATCTTCGGCTGCTAGCCGCGTCCTGCAGTCGCTTCTCCCAGGGTTTGGGGTGGGGTGGGGAAGAGACCCGGCACCCCACTCCCTCCCACCCAGGATGGGGATGAATGCTAAACACACCGTCCCGGTTTCATTGCAGAGATGAAAGTTAGGAGGGGGAGAAACTTGAAAAGGGAGCGGGATTTCCACCAAGATGCTAATTGCAGGAGGCTGGCTACATCTGCATTAAGGCAGCAAAGCCATCTGCTCCAGGGGCAACGTTCTCCTATGGACAGGGACGGTGTGGCGTGGAGGATTAGGAAGACAGGCACAGCGCAGGGGGAGAGAATGGTTCTCCTCCTCTGGTTGGAACAGGACGCAGGGGGCTAAGCCCCGGAAACCTGGGGGCGGTTGGCTCGGAGCAGCGGTTGGAAAAGGGCTTATCACGGAGAAGCTACAGAGCTTGCTGCCCCAGGATCCTGCAACAGGCGCTGGCTGGGTTAGCCTTCGAGAGGGGAGCACAGCTCCGGCCCCACTTAGCTGCCCTGAATTTAGCAGCGCTTCATTGCAAGGCTAAGTTCTGCCCTGCACGAGACTTTCCTGGAAGGAAAGGCCTCTTGGCCGTGTTTGCAAAAGGAAGCTGCAGGTTCCCGTGCTCGGAGGCCTCCCCCAAAGACCCAGGGGCCAATCACGGTACTCACACGGAGTCTCCTTGCACAAATAATTCTGGCCTCTCTTTCAGCAGATTCTCTTTAATCCACACCAGCAAATGTCGGACATTCCCTAAAAAACCAAAAAGGAGAGCAGGAAAGACCTCACAGGGAGCATATTGTAAACAGCCAAAACGTTGTTTTTTCCCCCCTGTTCCTTAGCGCAGCTCCTCTTTTATTTCGCTGTTTAGGAAAAGGCCACATATTGTGTTGAGAGAAGTGTGGGTTTCTCTCCCCCCTTCTTTTTGTAGTATCAATTTGACTGACAACACTAAAAACAATTTTTTTGGAGGGCGATAACATCGGCTCATTTCCTCCTGGAGAGATCAGAAGCAGCCCGGGGGGAGGGGGGAAATTAATTGGTTAAAAGGATCTTAAAAAGAAGACATGTTACTAATACTTAATTTTTTCCCCCCACTGTCTCTGTTCTTCATCTTTCCGCAGGCTTGTTTCTTAAAAGTCACTCAGCTGGACTCCAGTATCTCAGTAAGAACACCGCATCAGCCCTTAGTGTTTATACAATGGTTTCAGACTGTGTCAAGTAAATTATCTTACAGTGTTAATACTAATTTGGTAAAATAACAAACATTTAGCACTGACTCTTTAGCACTATTTATATTATTCAACCTACTCCATCTAAGTTATCTTGAAATCCTAACACCAACCCTTAAGATAGAACCATGATACTGCAGAATGGGATAGAAGGGCAGAGACTGAGGTCAGCATTCATTAGCAAAACCCCTCCTTGATTATTCATCTTATTTTTTTCCCCAATCCCCAATGAAGATACTCTGTTCTTGGAGCACTGTTTAGTGTGCCCAGACATTGAGGCAGTCTATTCATTTTGCAAACAAATAAATACTTTTTCAGCACGCTCAGAGTCACAAGAAGCCCTGCGTCGCTTCCGTGCACTGATTTATTTTCTAACCGTGGTGCCCGATGTGCCTTGATGGGTTCACGAGGCAACCTTAAGGAAATGGCGTTGGCCTCCATTAATAGGACAACCCTGTACTACAGAGGTGATGTGAGGATCACGAGATCGGAAGATGGGCTCCCCCTGTGCATGGAGATCATTACAGCAATGGGGAAGCCAAGCCTGGAACAGTTTTGCTGGGTCTGTGGAGCTGAAAGGAAGCTGTGTCAGCCAAAGAATTCACACTTCGCTCTGGCTGTTTGCTCGGCTGTCTTCTGAGCGGTTCCCAGGGCCTTAGGACCATCAGCCTGGCACGCAGCTTCAAAACCAACACCCAAGTAGGACATTGATGCCCATTCTTTGCTCTCCTGGTTGGGGGATTAGCGATATCTCACCTACAAGCCAGGAGGGCAGAGAGGCATCCCAGTTTCTGTGCCTGGCATCAGGAACTGGACCTTTGTTGTTGGCACAACCCTGGATAACCCCATATCCCACCTTGTCCACAAAGAGGAAAGGACACCACCTTGTCCACAAAGAGGCAGGGAGGAAGAAAGCCATCATCAGAAGTGAGATGTACGCCAAGCCGGTCACCCAGGCATCGGTGCGTCAACGGTTCCATCAATTCTTGAATGAACTGCTCAGACGCTTCACTGGGGGGGCGGGGGGACCCAGCCCTCCCCTGGGCCTTTCGCCCCCCCTCCCCCAAGAGAATGAGATCATTTATCACAGTGACCACGGCCAAGCTTCAATTTGCTGAGGTCACTACCTCCGGCCAATTGTCACCCCGTCGTCATGACAAAGCCCCCTCCCCAGCCAGCTTCCCTGCAAGCCCCTGCTTTTATTCCCCCCGTTGCATGGACGGGGAGAACATTGTAACACCTCTTTTGACTGATAGATGACTTATTCTTCACATTTAAAAAAAAAAATGAGGGGAGGAGGAACAGCCCCACTCCTCTGGCCTGCGAGAAGCCAAATTCCTTGCCGCATGGCTGAATTATGTGCAGAAGGACAGGCTGTGGGAAGGTCACGAGCCGAAATGAGTTATTCTTGGGATGCTGTTTTTCATTTTTATTCCTCTGCCCTCCCCCCCAAAAATCTTAACGACATAACGCAAGGCTGGGGGAGGCCACAAGCAGCGGGAAGAACCCATCTTAGGTATTTTCTCAGATTTGTTTTTCCTCCCAGTCAGGAAACCAGGCCCTCTTAACTGGGGATTACACTGGGGAGTCTCTGCTTAAATAAAATAATATCCACATCACACCAAAAGTGAAAAGGAGGAAGAGGAGCTGAAACACCCTCCCTGGAGTTTAGAGTTTAGCCTCCCTGAGAGTGGCCAAGCCAGCCTCAGCTGCAACATGATATGGATTCAAATTCTCCCTGGGGAATAAAGTAAAATTTAGCTCCCTTGCAACCCAGCCAGCCAACTGTAGTTGGGCATCTGTTACATTTGTCAAAACAGGGGACGCAAGTTATGGTAATTAGATGCAGGAGTATTTCATATCTGTCTGCCCTTCCATCCCACGCTTATTCTCCCCCCACCACCACAACCCCACATCGGGAGCCCCAAGCGGATCCACAGGGCTCAGCAACAAAATTTTGCAGCCAAATTCAAGCCAGGGTGGGGAGGGAGTGGTTCGGTGGATTGCTTGCTCCATGGAGGTGTGGGGTCCAACCCTGAAACTGTGAACTTGCTGTGCTGGCCCTCTCAATTTCTATCCCCCATTTTGGAAAATGGGAATAGTGAATCTGGGCTTCCCTGGAGCTTGTATAAGGACAGAGAAGACTACAACACACGCTGTAGTTCAGCAAAAAAACTTCAATCATTAAAAAGAAAAATTCAGAACAACAAACCGAGGCAATTTGTGACTCAGGTATTAGATTCTAAATGTCTGAGTCCTTATGCCAACTCCTATGAAGCGTGGTGATGTTTTCAATTATGTACCCTCCTTAGATGGAAGCTGCCAGATATTAAGATTCTGAGAATTCAGCTTCTGTTTCTCTGGCAAACCATATGTTTCTAGTCCTTAAGGGTGTCAGAGACCTGACAACACGACAACTGAAGCATCACTTTCCCCTTTTCTCCCTATGCACTCCCCCCCCCCAGGAAGTGGGAATGCGTGGCTCAGCGCCCTTCTGTTTGACAGGTTGCACTCAAGGGTTCAGAAGGCACTTTAAAGCCCTGGAATGCAGCTTTAGAAATGGGCCCCCATATTCTGATAACAGAGAGGAAAAAGCAAATGCAAACATTTGTGCCACATTCACCCAAAAGAAGCAGGAAAGCCTTGGCTGGAGGAAGGAAGGACTGAAATCAAGCAAATTTAATTGAGGTTGATCAAATGTTCAGTCATTTGATTCCAGAAATCTTAGTGAGTTCCGTGTATTAAAAAACTAGATGCATATATGAATCAAAGAAGGGGGGGGAATTCTCCTTGTTTTTAAATGGAACCCTCTTCCCTTTTTCTCTAACAGAGGCATTAATGCAGAAATGCCTCCTGTGCTTCACAGAGATCTGCCAGGGAGAAGCACCTTGAAATAAGATTTAAGTTGGTTAATCTAAGAGAGCAGTTGACTGATTCAAAACCCAACGTACTAAAGATTAAAGCCCTTACATTAAGTCTCTCTTGATTCTCACAGCTATCGAGTGGGGTAGAAAAAATGTATTTAGTACTGTTTAGGACAGGCTCCTCCAAAAAGCTATTCTGTCTCATCCCAGCTTTGCAAGGGGTCAGATTTAAACTCTGCCCATCCCAGAAGGTTCTTTCTCTTGCCCCGTCCACCCCAACCTTCAAGAAAAGACACACCGAGGCCCTTTAACGCAAACAGCTCCATTCTCAAGCTATATTCCCCCCCCCCCATCAGCACAATGTCACCCAGCTTCTCAGCAGTCATTTGAAAGGGGAGAGAAAGCCATGGAGAGGATTGGCAAAGGAGGAAGGGGGGGGAGAGGGAGGGGAGATTTACAAATGAAAGGAATCAAGAATGGAGCAGTTTGTGGGATAAAGTTTGTGGGATAAAGCACTAGGGGCTTTACAGATGTGTGTGGGACAGGGGCGGCCCATTGTTTAATTAAGCAGAAAGTCGCTCTTTTGAAAAGCAATTTTGCACAGGAGCCCCGAGCTTCGGCAAACAGCCCCTTGTGAGGGAAGGCGGGCCGCGGAGGAGAAAGGAACAGCTGGCAGTGTGAACTGTGTGAAGCAAAGGCTGCGCAGTTTAAAGGTCTGCGGACCCTCCCCCTCCCTCCCCGCACACAAGTCCTCAGTCACCTTTTCAGCAGGGGGGCCACCCCTGCAAAGGGTAGCAGATTGGGGGGAAAAAAGGGACGGGGGATTTCAATTGTGGGTTTTCTTCCTTCTCCGCTGCATCTCCAGGACCGCGCTGTGAATCTTCTCCTCCTCTCCAAGATGCCTCAACTACAGGGACTTCCCAAGATTTCTCCCATCCCCTCCTCTTTGCCTCCTCTATGTCCTGCCCAGTCAAAGAGAGAAAGTGGGAGACCCCCGTCCTGAGTTGCTCTGGAGACCCTTGCAGGAAAAGACGCTAAGCCACAAACCATGGTTTGCAACTCATATGACAGCAGGCCAGAAAAATCCCTTGGAATATTAACCGTGTGTGTGTGTGTGTGTGTGTGTGTGTGTGTGTGTGTGTGTTGGTGCTCAGGCTCTGCTCAGCCTGGGAAAACTATATTATCATGGGCCGGGTGCCTCTGCCACAGAGACCGAGTTCCAATGGGTCTTGACTAGAAAACAGTTTGAAAGAGAATCTGTTTCATTTTTGTCAGCGTTCAAGCCAGCGCAGGAGGAGAAGGGAAGCTGTTCTCTAAACACAGCACAGCCAGCAACCACCAGAAAAACTTCTTTGCTAGTTGTACTTCATCCCTGAAGGCTCCTCCCTGAATGGTTTTCCTGGCAACTTCAGTAGGATCTTTTGGCATCAGAGGAAGGCCTTATTTTCCCCAAGAACCGTTTTGCTGTCTTAGAACTTGAGTATTTTTAAAAATCCATTTTACTTTATGAGGGAATGTCATTATTAACAGGCTTCCTGGTTTTTATTTGTATTATTTGTGGTACTCTCCATGAAGGTGTCGGTGTGGTTTTTAAAGATGTCGTGATGGTATAAGTTTATGTTTTAAGGTAGACTGCCGAAAGAGGCTGTTATTTAAATAAATAAGCATCTACAAGTGCCTGTTATCAATCAGTGAATACTCACAAGGTTCAGGCTGGTTGGGCAAATTCACCTGATGTTTTCTTACCCCATCAAACAGGAGTTCTGCTCCACCTCTGAAATTCAAAATGGTGGGGGGGGGAGGAAACATAATTGTGCAAGGCTGGTCTGAGAACCATTAACATTTTAAAGCTAAAAGTACAGGAAGGAAGACAATTATACGTATAGAGTCTGCTTTCCTGGAAAGCTTAAAGGAGAATTCACTGAGGCCCAGAATCCCTCTGTCCTTTCGCTGGCACTTTGTAATGGCTCATACTCATAACCATGGCTGAGCACGCATTTTAAAAATCCTATTTTCTCCATTCTGTATTTAAATAGTTTGTTGGGACTCTCAGAAAGCTTTTGTGCCTAGATCAGCCCAGATTTAGGGCCTGGTTGTCAAAAGTATCACCCTTTGCACGGACAATGATAACAACCAGATTTTAAGATACATTTTCTCAGCCCTTTTCCAGACTTATTCCCTCAGCCAAGATTAACAGAAAGCAGAGCTTCCAAACCACAAGAGCACCATTACAGAGTAAGTTTCAAAGATGTCTTTTCTTTACACCTAACCTTTTAGCATCCATGTTTGTGAAAGAGACCCAGCTAAGGAATATGAAAATATTACCAGTGGAATATTCTCAAGTTTTCAGTCCCTTTAAATCCAGCGATGTGAAGAAAGAGTTTTGGCTGTACTTTTCCACGAGCACAACGCCTCCTTTGTAATGCCTACTGAAATGCTATGACTTCTGTGCAGTTGCTCTCCTCAAAGAAAGCTGTTGGTCTTGTCCAATTTTTCTCCCCCACCTCCCCCCCCCCAAATTGTTATCTGAAAACTGAAAATAGTAATTATTAAATGTTAGACAGATCTAGAGATTCATGCCGAATGTGAGCTTTAGCGATGGCCGGAGAGGGGAATCTTTTCTGCTTGCTGTGAAAACAAGCTCACACTTTGTGTGTTCCCACAGATACTGGGATGGGAGATAAGGTCCTTTCTGTAACATGCTAGCTGGGAGAAACTCAGCTGCAACACTCACAGATAGAGAACTCATTTAGGCTTTTCCAGGAAAGGAAGGGAGCGGGCGAGAATGACTACACACACTGCTATTCTGGAGAGTAAGAAGAGTATCAGTGTCTATATGGGCAGCGGGGGAAGATGCAGGTGGAGTTATGTCAAAAAGATTCCCTTTTATCTGCCTTCCCCATCATCCTATGAGACTTATGGTCTAATACATCTAGAACGCATAAGCTTGGACTAATATGAGATGGATATAGAAATATTGGACTCTTATAAGCCTGGGCTAATACAAGATGGACATAGAAATGTTGGACTTCAACTCACACCACACTTAGCCAGCTTGATGTAGTCAGGGATGATGGGACTTGCAGTTCCACACTCCCTAGAGGGTCGCTTTTACACAGGGAAGTCAACTGAACCCTATCTTATGTCAGTGAGTGGATTAAAAAAAAAAGTATCTGAAAAGCAAATAACGCTGAGAACGTTCCGCTCTTATCCAGAATTGCTTTACTTCAGACAAAGGGCTTAAACCAACTGGTAGCAGAGGGAAAATGATTCACTATGCTTTAAAAAATCATTCCACGCTTATAAATGTGAAACCTACTTTATGTATATTATCATCCCAGACTTGGTTCTAAAAGGTGTGCATTCCAAACACACCTCTCTATAATCATTTAAGATGTCCACCATGTGGGCCCACTTTTAAGTACCAGCCAACTGGATGATTTAGTAAGAGCATTTAATGAGAGCAACAGTGCCAAAGGAAGTTGTAAATGGCTAATCTTGACATATACTGGCCTATTTTTTTAAGAGATAATGCATCTTTGTGATGCACGAAGGTCAACAGATTTATAGCCTAAATCTTTTAAATTAGGTATGCTTTCTTCGTTAAATACCTATAGTACTTCTCACGACTGCATTATTGCTTTTTTTTTTGAGCGATACCCTTGATGCATGCTGAATTTTTGTGCTTTTTTGATGGCAGTCATAAATTATTCTTATCCTGAGAAAGCACCGCATCTCACATCAACGCTTTGTCAAAAAATACCACCTCATCTGCAATTTAACATAGTGCCTCTTTCTCTATTTAATATGAAAGCCTTGTCCCCCACTGTCGTCATAACGGAAAGGCTGACCACTAAATGCCAGAAGCGGTTTCTTAGGACTATTTGGGTTTTTTTTTTTAAGTGTATCTATATCTCAGAGAAAGGAATTATGTAGTTGACCCACACTACAGTATTATGTAGTTGACCCACACTGTTCTTTCAGTGTGGATCAGCTACATAATACTGATGACACTATGGTGTTGGAATTCCTACTGTATATGAAAACCTTTGAATGTTAAAGCCAGAGATATAGGGACCAGTTTGGGGAATAATGAGAAAATGCCACTCTCTGCACATTCATATTCATTCTTTAGGGCTCCTTCAAACATTCTGCTACTCATTTAAAGAACACTGAATTCTGGAGGCACGGACTAACTATCAAGACGGAAAGTAAATAAAATAATGAGCATATAATGTCCCACGTTTCTTAGTGGTTTACCAGATTCTCCAAGACGTTCCATTATAGCCAAACATTCTTATCCAATCAAACCCTCCAATAAAGGCCTTAGAAGAGTCATACCACCTTCACCTGACGCTTCCTTGTGGATCTGCTACCTTCTCCTTCCTCTAAAACAGGGTTCCTCAACCTCAGCAACTTTAAGATGGGTGGACTTCAACTCCCAGAATTCCCCAGCCAGCCAATTCCCAGGGAATTCTGGGAGGTGAAGTCCACTCATCTTAAAGTTGCGGAGGTTGAGGAACCCTACTCTAAAAGATGGTATTTTATGCATCCTATCACATCCTACCTCTTTCCAGAATCTTGCTAGATCCAAATTTAAATCGAAATCCAAAGCTACAGGTTAATCTCTCTAGCTCATTCCAGTTGGGGGTCCATTCTCCCATTGCCTTTAAAGACGCAAGAGAAAACAGCTGGAAGGGAATAACATTTTCCAGGCCCCAGTCTCCTTTTTCTGTTAATGCCAAGGATGAAAACTATACAAATGGCTTGTATTGAGAGGGTGGTGGGTTTTTCGATTTTGGGTAGCGTTTTCTGGCATGGGTGGGTGTTCAAACAATGCCAAGTCCCCCATGTTCTCCTACGTCTTATTTCTCACCACAAAGAAAGGCACAAGAATAAAAAGGCAACCGGCCGTCGGATTGGACCCTCCACCCACAAACGTGGGTCTTCTTCACACCCCTCCATTGCCCTCCGCGGCTCTTCACAGAGAAGGGGGGGCCCCTGAAGTTGACTTTGCTGGCCGTTTTATATATGGGGGCAGGAGCTGCCCGGAGTGTATGAATAACAATAATTACTTATTTATTATTGTTATATCAGGTCTGCCACCAAGGAAAACGTTCCCTAAGTGACCACCCTGCCATGGCCTGATGAATTCTGGCCCATCCTGGCTGGAGAGGATAGGAATTGTAGTCCAACACAGCCAGGAGGCAGTGCATTGAAGGAAGTTGGGGCACAGCCCCATGGGGGAGGGCTTGAAAAGGAGGAAAGAAGGGGGATTTTATTTCCCGGGTCCCCCCAGCCCCCCGGCCCCCCACCTTCTAGACCATAAAAGGCGCTCAGTCACCCCCAACCTCATTCCCAAGCACCCGCCCTCTAAGCCCCCTCTTCCGGCCTCAGCC